ACGCGCGCGGCGTGTATGTGTGTGTGTGTGTGTGTGTGTGTGTGTGTGTGTGTGTGTATGTATGTGTGTGCTGCGTGAGTCCGTGCGTGTACATTTTAATGCGTATGTGAACAAATAAATGTATACGTGTGAATAAATGTATACGCATCTACCCTATTAAAAATTGAGGATTGTTCATCATTCTTGAAGTTACGTGGTGAAAAAATACAGTTATAATAGAAAACAAGATATTTCTTAATATATCCATAATTTGTACATTGTTACTTTATGGTATACATTTGTTCATATAGCACGTAAAAAAGAAGCAAAAATTTTTTTGTCATTTGAATTCAAGTTGCTTATACATTAAGTGTATGAACAATTTGATTTTTTTTTTAGTCTAGCCGTCTTTGAGATCTAATTATCTCAAGTTCGCACTTAGCTGTCTCGCATAAAGATGTATGTCTCGCATAAAGAATATTTGTTTTATGTCTTATGTTCGCTAAATGCTAGTGTGCATTTTGAAGTGAACCGCGATCGTGTGATTTGTCAAAGGCATAGATATGAATAAACAGATATTTCCGAACAAACTTCAAATCTGACAATTCTCATACATAATAAAAATTTTTGTCCGATCTCTAATGACTACATTTAAGTTTTAGCTTTTACTTGTAATGAGCATACTTTGAGAATGTTAAATCTGGAAATATATATCGAATGAATAGTTCGGGGCTCTTCTTGTTTTAATCATATACGTGCGTTGTGCCAAAATAACACATCCGAAATTTCAAAATTTTTTATATTATAATATTAAAATTACATGATTTTCTATATATAATTTGTAATTGTATGTCAATTGTATGTCAATTTTATACATATAATAAATATACATATAATAAATGAATATGTCTCGCGCAATCCCTGAATTATACGAGTTGCAAAGAAAGTTTTATTTCCCTCCAACTAAAGTTGTTAATAACGTCTTCTGCAATACATTACAAACACAATTGTAAATAATCTCAGTTGCACATAAAATGATTACTTATAGACAGAGTAGAAAAGCTTCATTAATGATAAGAAAAGATTAGGATAATCTAGTGCAGATTTTGTTTTATGTGAAAGACATAAAACCTGTCCAGAAACTAGTTGTGAATCTCATTTCACACGGCCTCAGCCATATTGTGCATTTACATATTATGTATTAAATATGTGATATATATATATAATCTATTTATGTACGACATAGTCATTATAGAATATATATGCATAGAAAATGTATGTATAATAAAATTAGGTGTAAAAAATTATGTGTATTACAATACTTAAAATAAATAATTTGTATTTAAGTTTATCTGCAACTGAGTACAATGAAGCTATTAACAATTATTTAATAGGCAAATAAAGCTTTCTTTGTGAATCGCATTATTCAGGAATTGTCCGCGAAGTATTCATATATTATATGTATATAAAATTGAAAGTAGACATTATATATTAAAAAATCATGTAATTTTAATATTACTGCTTTATAAAAAATTTTGCAATATCAAGATGTGTTACTTGGACTGCTTCATGCATATATATGATTAAAATAAGAAATGCCTCAAACTAAACTTTAATATATATTTCTACATTTAATAATATTTTCGAAATATACGATCGTTACAAAAGGATTAAAATTTTAACATTTGTACATTTGAGAATATAATGAAGATTTCGTTGTATATAAGAATTGTCTCATTTGAAAATGTCCAGAAATATTTGATCACGTATATCTTTCGTCAAATCGTCATGATTATAGAACATATGCTATTATAAGATTTGGAATAAAATATTCGTATAGTAAGTACATTGTAGTATAACGTAAGTTACATTGGAGTATAACACATTGGGAAAAATTATTTAATATAAAGATGTAAAATATATCTTATAAAGGTAAATTGCATGTTTTGAGAACATTTTATATATCAGTTATATAATTTGAGTCTCCAATCAATGTATTATTAAAAA